TCAAGAGGCTGAGGCAGGAAGATCTCCATGAATTTAAGGCCAGCCTGGGCTACATAGTGACCTCAGGGCCAGCCTGAATTATATATATTGGACCACGTATCCAAAAAGCAAGAATGAGACCAAAAACAAACACAAAAAAAAGCAAAAAAAGAAAACAAATTCTATAAATCGAGTACAGATACAACTTTTTTCTTTGTTTTCTTTTTCTTTAGGTTATCAGACAGAGTCTTGCCATGTAGACAGGATAGCTCTGAACTTACTGCAGAGCCCAAGCTGGCCTCGAACCTGCGGTGATCCCCGTCTCGACCTCCCAAGTGCTGGGCTTACAGGCATGCACCACCACACCTGGCCTGGTTGCAATTTTTAAAAATGTTTTTTGACTTGCAATTGATTGAATCTCTGAATGCAGAACGTGGTGACTGTTGTGGGTTCACTGTATAAAAATGTTAAACCTAGTTGTATGTTTGTACATATTAATAAAAATAATTTATTTGAGGCTGTCCCTAAGCTCGTGAACTGAAATGACCCTCCTTCCTCAGCTTCCCTGGTGGCTGGAACTGCTGTATGCTACATGTCACCGTGTCCAACCTGTACAATAACTCAGGTCCAGAGCGGGAGTCTAAGGATATTTTATTTCCTTCCCTAGACTACCCATAAATACTGTGTAGGTGGCACACAGAGTTGAAATGTAGCCCCCAAGTTCACATGCACGTGGAACCCCAGAATGTGACCTCATTTAGGAGCAGGGCCTTTGCAGATAGAATACTTCTAGTAAATGACATTGTTCTGGACTAGGGTGGCCCTCAATCCAGTGACTGGTGTACTCTGAAGGGAGCAATGTGGAATTGTGTGTGATGACGCACACCTGTCATCCCAGCACTTGGCAGGCTGAGGCAGGAGGATCGCCGTGAGCTCAAGGCCAGCCTGGGCTACATGGTGAGACCCTGTCTCTATGGTCTCCAAGACAGAGAGCCGTAGAGAAATAGACAGGGAAAAGCCCATGTGCCAACCGAGACAGAGTCACCCGGTCACACAGTGAAGAGTACCATGGACTGTACCCCCCACTGCCATCCCGTAAGCAGCAGCTCAGATCCCACGGACACCTCAGTTTCAGGATACCTTAAGCCACTAAGCCTATGGCTACAGCCCCCAGGGAAGCGACACAGATGGCACCCTGCCCAAGAAGAGGGGGACACAGGGTGGCCCCAATGCCATCCCAGGCCCATCTTCCTGGCAGGTATGTCATTCTACAGCTTGGGCCTCCCACATGGGGATACTGAGGCCCAAGGAGTGTAAGAGGCTGAGAAGGACCAGGAAGCAGGACCCGTGGCACCCACTCCCGAGCCCAGCAGCACTCACTGCGGAGCCGGAGGCAGGGCTGGTGTCAGGGTCCGGCGCAGGTGTCTCGAAGTTGTCACCAGGTGCACAGTGCTGCAGCCCGGAGCCGCTGCGATGGGGACTCCTCAGGTCCAGCTCGGAGCTGCAGGGCCTGGCAGTTGTGGGCCCAGCCCCCTCCTTGGGGGCGTCTGGGCTGAAGCCACTGTCCTTGTCGCTCTTCTTTCTATCTCTGACACCCAGGAGCAAGCTAGGCATGCAGGACACCAGCGCCAGCGGCTGGAAGTATTAGGAAGGAGGAACCAACACGGCCGTGGGGACTGGGTGCCCCTGGATTCCTCCATGCCCCAGGGAAGGTGCCAGGGCACAGGGAGGAGGTGGCACTGGGGACAGGGTCTCTCTGCTTTTGGCAGGGCTCCTGGATGGTTTTTGGGGTCTTTTGGCAATTTGGAACTGCAGTTTAAAAATGGTTCATTGTGTGCTTTAGCACAATAGATGCCGTAGCTTATATCAGATTCTCAAAGGGTCTGTGATTTTAACAAAGTTTAGAAAAGCAAAATAGCTGGGAGTGATGGTACATGCCTATAATCCAGCACTTGGGAGGCTGAGGCAGGAGGATCGCCAGTTTGAGACGGGCATTACATAGCCTGGGTTACATAGCAAGACCTTGTCTTGAACAAACAAACCCCCGCAGCCCTTCTCTGATCCTGTTCCTCCAGGTGAGACATTAAGAAAGAGCACAGGAGCTGAGAATCCAACTCCATCTTTCCACTGAGCTAGAAGAGAACTCTAGGCAGAGAAGGCAGGAGCCAAAGATTTAGATAAAGCCAGGCACGATGACGCACAACAGCGATCCCAGCACTCTGGGAGGCTGAGGCAGGAGGATTGCAAGTTTGAGCCCAGACTGGGCCATGCAGCCACTTGGCAAGATCTTGCTTCACCATAAAAAGGAAAGGGCTGGGGGTGGGGCTCGGGGCAGAGGTCTGGAGAAAAACAAGCAAACAGGAGACCCCAAGGATTAGGTGACATGGCCTGGCCAGCCACCCATAGCCCAGGGCACAGCGCCCTGAGGAGCCCAGGGTCAGCACTGGTCGCCCCTGCAGCCAGAGCTCGGGAATCAGCGCATCTGAGCTCGGAGCAGGGGTGTCTGCAGCAGCCCCCCGCGGAGGGGCCCCACCTGGGGCAGGGTGCAAGCCACACTTCTTGTGCCCCTCCCCTCCGGGTTTACTTGTCTGGGGCTGTGCTTGGCGGCCTTGCATCTCTGCTGCTGCGACGGTCGCCAGGGCCTGGAGCTCCTGCCCTGGGCCTGCTCGCCTGCCACCTCGCCCTGCACCTCTGCCTTCTTCTGCCGAGTCTGCAAGGGCTTTTGCTCCTGCCGCAGTCTCAGTTCCTGGATCAGCTGCCTGCCCGCGGGCAGACAAGAAGAAGGGTCAGAGCTGGACAGCGACAGGCCCCAGGCAGGACGAGTGAGTGGCCAAGGGTCCACTACCCCTTCCCGATCCAAGGGTCAGCTGTAGGCCAGGGTGGGTGGACACCAAAGAGCCCTCCCTCCAGCCACTCCCAGAAGGGGACCACACCACACGCGCTCCCCGCTTCTTGCAGCATCTGTCAGGAAGAAGATCTAGGTAGGACAGGGGCTCCCTTGTTACACCACTTCTATTGTTGCCTTTGTATGTGGAGGGGAAATTGAACTCATGACCTTGCAGTTGCCAGGCGGGTGCTTGTGCCGCTGAGCTATCTCCGCAGTCCTGATCTTGTTTTTTTTTTTCTTTTTTTAAAGATAGAGTCCTGCTACATAGTTCCAGCTGGCCTTAACCTCACCATGGAGCCCATGGCCTTTAGCTCTCAGAGATCCACCTGCCTCAGCCTCCCAAGTTTTGGGATGAGAGGCATGCGCCACCACCCCCCGGCTTGGATCACTTCCTCTGCTGGGCTTTCAGGCCAGTAGCCCTGGGAGAAGACAGAAGGTGCTGTACACAGCCAGTCAGGAGATAGGTGAGTTCTAGACCTTAGCCTGTCTCCTCTTGCAATGGGATCCCGTGACTTAAATGCTCCTTCTGGAAAATGTAGCGCTTGATGGGGACCCAGATCAATGCCACGATTCCCTTCTGGCTTCTAGATCTCACACCTGCGTGAGGGTGTGGAGTGGGGACATCTGTCCCAGGGATGAATTTCTAGAAGCAGCCACCCATCGGCTCAGCTGTGCCTGGTACCGGGGTCCCTTCAAGCCAGACACTGTCCCTGCCACCCCAGACCCACCAGCCATCCCCAGAATGGACAAGCACCTCCCCCCGCAGCTTCCTACCGGGCGCATCCCTCCCGGGCCCGGGAGGCAGCAGTGTTCTGGAAAAGCGAGCTGTTGTCCTGGAAAAACTTCTCATACTTCTCCAGATTCCGGCTGGGGTAAATCAGCCGGAACCCGCCACAGTTGTCCTTCTCATATTTCTCGGTTTTCTGCAACCTGGCAGCCTGGAACCCTTTGGCTTCCTCGATCCTGTAGGGGAGGAGGACACCGCACCGCGCTTCAAGGTTTTTTGTTTTGTTTTGTTTTTGGAAGAAGGCAGGAGGCACCTCTCAGGCCAGATGGAGGCTTTGCATAGAACTGTGGCCAATGTTTACTGAATTAAAATAAGAATGTTTCCTTGAAAGGACGCAGTAGCCCTTGGGGACAGCCGTCCTTGGTGCCCTCAGAGCTGGTCAGAAGCCTTCCGGATGGTGGTCTACCAAATTCTCTCCAAGGAAACCCGCAGCCCCTGATCTGAGCGGGCACTGTCCCCACCTCCCCTCATCACCTTATTAATTCGAGAGCTTCTAAGATGAGCTTAATGTGCTTCTGGGCTGCTAAGATCTCATGCTTCCTCACAGCCCTCCGGGGAGGTGGAGGTCAGGCAGGGAGGCGCGGTGAGCCCCCTCTCCAGTGGAGACACTGAGAGCCACCGACATGTCCGGGGTCAAGGACTGATGAGGAGAGGATGTCCCCGAGGCCCCTAGCAGCACAGGGCAGAGTGGCCTGAAACTACAGCCCAGATGCACGGTTCCAAGCGCAGGGTTGGAGGAACAAGGTGACCTTGGCAGTTACTTCCCGTTACGTGTTTGGAAGGTGATTGGATGGTGGGGCGGGCAGCTGGATTGGAGTCAGTGGGCGTGGCCGGGTAGGAAGGGGCGGTACCAGGGCGGGGCGGGGCCAAGGGGGCAGTCTCGGGGCGTGGCCCGCAAGGGCTCCTCTCCCCGCTTCAAGCTCTGCTTTCTGGGCACCATGAGGTGAGTGCATCTCCTCCGCCAGGCCCCTCCACAGTACTCTTCTGCCTTGGCGCAGAGGTCTACAGACTGAAACCTCTACAAACTGTAAACCAAATAAACCTCTCTTCCTTCAAGTTGTGGGCGTCAGGGATGGTGTCTCAGCAACCCGAAAAGTGACTAGACGGGTCCCCTTGCAGTCTTGCTGTTGGCTTCAGGAGCAAGGCCATACAGCACCCAGTCTACCTCCCCCATGCCATCTCTCGCTCCTCGGAAGGCAGTGCCCATGATGGTGCCGGGGAATCGCTGTGCTGTAGGAACACAAGTGCTACTATGGCCTCGTGCAAAATCTCAGCCCACGGCATCAGGCTGGCGCTGCTCTGAGGAGGGCCCAGGACTTGGTCTGGAAGCATCAAGGGCGCCTTCTGGACCAGACTCGGACCCTCTGGGATCTCAGAGCCGAGATCCCAGGAGCAAGGCAAAGGCTGACCACAGAAAGCAAGATGTTCCTCCTGCCAGCTCAGATAGTTTCTTCAGTAAAATTAAGGCCAGGCATGGTGGCGCAGGCCTGTAATCCCAGTTCTCAGGAGGCTGAGGTGGGAGGATTGCCTAGACCACACAGAGAGACCCTGTCCTCCAGGAAAAGGGTCGGTTGCATTTTTTAATATTGGTGATTCCTAAACCTTATCATAATTTAATCAATTCAAATCCATTACAGAGAGTTACATGTCTGCAATTTAATCTTCTAATTTCTAGGGACAAAGGCACACTGACAATAAAAGTATTCGGCCTGCTATACCATCCATACAAACTTAATTTCCAAGTAAGATTATTGTTTGTTAAAATGAGCCTCCCTTTTGCAGCTCCAGGCAAGGTTGATTGATTGATTTTTTTTTTTAATTTTTTATTTATTTGTGTGTGTGTGTGTGTGTGTGTGTGCGCGCGCACGCGGCCAGCTCAGCCCACCAGGGGGCGGGGCCGGCTGGCATGTGGTGCTGGGGGACTGAACCGCTGTCCCTGTGTTTTGCTAAGCTTGTTCTAAGTAGGTGCTTTAGACCACTGAGCCATCTCACCAGCCCCTGATTGATTGATTGATTGATTGATTGATTTTTTTTATAAGTTAATTTAAAAAAAATTTTTATTTGGGGGGGGCCAGCTCAGCCCACCAGGGGGCGGGGCTGGCTGGCATGTGGTCTGGGGATTGAACCGCGGTCCCTGTGCTTTGCTAAGCTTGTTCTAAGTAGGTGCTTTAGACCACTGAGCCATCTCACCAGCCCCTTGATTGATTTTTAAGGCAGGGGCTCACTATGTAGTTCAGGCTGACCTCAAATTCACGGGATCCTCTTGCCTCAGCCTCCCAAGCGCTGGGATTATAGGCATATCATGCTGAGCTATCTTTTATTTAATTGTTCTAGCAGTGCTGGGGATTGAACACAGGGCCTCGTACTTGGTAGGCAGGCATACCTTCCCACTGAGGTGCATCCGTTTATCCCAGGCAAAATTTTTTGAGTCTCTTACAAATTATGATGCTGGGCCTCATGTTAAATTTTCCCCTAAAGGTTTCTGCCACTTCCCCTGCGATCTTAAGCAGCACAAGTGGCATTTGATGAAGGGCTCACTAAGGCTCAGGAAATGACCGAAAGGCCACAGGAAAGGTTCCCAGGTCGGGGCCACTGCCGTACCTGACCTCCCGAGAACGGCACTGCTGCAAGAACCGGCCCCGCTGTCTCTCCTCCTCCAGGACTTTCTTTTTGTCACAGCTCCCCAGGTTGATGAGAACCAAGGTGTCATACAGCAGCCTGTCCTTCACCTCCCTGTCCAACCGGGTGTCAGTGGAGAAACTTGGAGAATGGTTGACCTGTGGGGATCAGACGACTGCTGGGGACGGGGCTGAAAGCAGCGGGAGAGGCCGCCAGCCACCTCCAAACCCTAAGGTGGGTATTGGTGGCCCACCCCACTTGCTGCAATCCCAGAACAATCCTCAGAAGTCTGAGGCAGGAGGATCCCTGCAAGTTCAAGGCCAGCCTGGGCAATAGTGAGTTCAGGGCCAGCCTGATCTCCACAGGGAGACTCTTGTCTCAAAAAAAAAAAAAAAAAAAAATACATACAGGAGCCGAGGAGATAGCTTGGTAGAATAAGTGCTTGCTTGGCAAGAGCCTGAGTTCAATTCCCAGTTCCGAAAAAAAAACAAAAAAACCCCACATAAATAAAGTGTGACTCTGGCACTGACACCTGGCACTGGCACTGTGACTTCCCAGACACACCTCACTCCTTAGGGTGCCTCCTGTTGGCCATATTCAAGGGCTCCTGGGGACAGGTGCAACCAGAACCAAGACCTTGGAAACCTCCTTTTACCCCCCAGAAACTTACAAGGTGGCTCCATCTCCAGCACTCTGAGTGCTTGAAACCAAGTAGTCCAGGCCCCTGAGAGCCCAAGGAGGCCGTCCCTGTGTGACCCTGAGCACAGTGGACCCGGCTTTGAGGATGCAGGTACTCTTCCGCGGAAGAGACAGAAGAGACCCTGTCACCAGAGGCAGAGTGATGCTAGAACCTCTCTGTGCCTGCGCTGGTCTATCAGTCTGGCTGGGGCCTCGGGAAGACAGAACTGTCCGATTCCCAGGCATCTACCCCCCTCTGGTGGCCGCCTCTCAGCTCTGGACGAAGCCTGCCCTGGCCTCAAAGCACCCTGGGAGGGGTGGTGGAGGGGAGCCCAAGTCCCCTGCGTGAGCCCGGAGGGGTCCCCGGGAAGCCGACCGGATGCTGCTTCAGCCCAGCCCCACTCCCCACCTCCAGCAGCCAGGGCTTGAGCTTGCAGTCCAGCAGGATGTCGAAGCCCAGGATCTCGAAGCAGGCGCTGTTGAGCGTGTGGCTGGGGAAGCAGGTCTGGTAGTTGTGCTTGATGACCGGGTGGGCAGCGATGAGGGTCTTCACAATGAGGTCCTCAATGGCCCTCCAGATCTGCTGCACGTCGTAGCCGTGGCTCTCCATGTAGACATTGAAGGCCGACAGCTTCCTGCGGGGAATCATGGGCTGGGCAGGGCTGGCGACGCAGGAACCCTTTGTGGACCCCAGGGGTTCTGGGGCTGGGGACTGGGTAGCCGGACCAGGGTGACAGGGCCCAGGGCTTCGTGAGCCTCTGGTGTTTAACACAAGCCTTTTTTTTTTTTTTAATGTAGTGAGAACTGAACCCAGGGCCTTCACACAGAGCCCTTTGTACTTATTTCTTATTTCGAGACAGGGTCTCACTAAGTCACCAAGTTGCCCAGGTTGAAATTAAACGCATGGTCCTCCTGCCTCAGCCTCCCAGGGTGCTGGGATCACAGGCCTCGGCCACCACACCCAGAACCCAGCTTGGGGAGCCTCTTAAGCTCAATGGCACCTTGGCCCCACTGCAGCCATGTGAGTGACCCGGGAGGCACTGAAGTTCTAGCAGTCTTGTCTGTTTACGGCTGCTTGTAAAGAACACGCAGCCAGGGTATTTCCACAGGGAAAGGCTAACAGTTCTCCTGTGTTTGGAACAGAAAGTCCCACGTTGCAGGAAACAGCCCCGTCACAGGCAGGTGGAGCTGGGAGCGGCCCAAGCACAGAGGGGAGGACAAAGAGCAGACCTCAGGGTGAAGGCTGCGGCTAGCTCCTCTGAGAGGGGCAGTGACAAGCCCAAAACCTGGGTACCTAAGGACAGAGGGGCAGAGGCCACGCAACAGGGCAGCCCCTCCTCCACCTGCCACTGTGCCGGGACAGAACGTTACACCTAAGCAGATTTCCCAGGTCACTGGAACCCCATGCTGTGGGAGGGAAAACGAAGTATTTTAATTTGTCTCATTGTGAAGTGAGGTTTCCTAAAATACACTGTATTCTCCCCTGACTTCTAACAGGTGAAACAAAATACGTCCTTCCCTTGGTGACTTTCCTTGGTCCTTCCCAGCGGAGAGAGTGCTCTGCTGTGAAATTCTGTAGTGGCCCTGGGCCTATCACCAGCTTGACACCAGCCACGTGCCAGGTGCGAGACAACGCCATTGGCCTTGGCTGCCAACTACGGGGCAGGGCACCAGCAGCGGGGCTCCTGGGTGATGGGGAGAAGAAATGGGGGAGATGCCCACTCCTTGCCATGTGCACTCGTCCTACAGGCCTCGTGGGCTTCAGGTGCTGAAATGCCACACACCTCTCGGGCGCTGTCCCCAAATGGAAGGTCTATTGTTTAGCCTCCACCCACCCTGGTATGCCTAAGGTGTGGCCCTGGCCCCAGCCCCTCAGCTCTCCACCTACAAAGTGCTGGGGTGAAAATTTTAACCACAAGCAGGGCGCGGAGGTTCATGTCTGTAATCTCAGCACTTGGGAAGCCGAGGCAGGAGGATCGCTACAAGTTCGAGGCCAGCCTGGACTACCTAGTCAGCTTCTGTCTCAAACAAAGCAAAGCAAAAAAGCAAATCAAAACAAAAATTCAAAGAGAGCTGATCACACAGTAACAGGGAGGGGACAGCTGCCTATAGCAAGACTCGCATGAATGCTTCTCTTCCCCCTTCCTGGGGAGTCCTGGTGCCCACCAGCCACACATCATGTGACACCAGCAGGGACTCTGACACGTCTGTGGAGAATCTCTAACGCAGCCATGTCCAGGGAACCAAGGCCCAGGAGGCTCCACCATGCCACGAGCCCTTCTCAAAGGCTCAGACAGTGATCAGTAAACATCTGCTGGTCGGCGGTGTCGGGCGGGAGCCAGGAACAAGTCATGTTTTGGACCGCGTGTGTATTCTGCTGGGGAAATAGTGTTTATCTCTTCTCCCAGCTCTAGGGTTTACGACAGGGCCTGCTGTAATGATTAACAGCCTGCAGGGCCCGGGCCCCAACGGTGGCGAACCAAGGCCATGTGACCCAAGAGGGACCCACTGGCAGAGCCAGGCAGGGCCGGGCAGGGCAGGGCAGGGCCGGGGTGGGATCTGCACAGGGTGCGAATGAGCGCCGCCACTCCCTTACCTCTTGCTGCCCGAGTGCGCGTCTTGAATGAAGTTTGAACTGTGCTTATTAATGGAATAATTAGTCAGGTGCATGCAGGTGTCGTCCTGGGGGAAGAGACACATGCCTGTGGGATGCTCTCCCTGCCTTCCCGTGGTCCCCTGGGGCCCGTGCTTAAAGGGATGGAAAAGAAAGGGAAATCTTGGGATGTCCTTAAACCAGCCAAACAGCCAGCCATGGTGGCACAGGCCTGTCATCCCAGCACTCAGGAGGCTGAGGCGGGGGATCGCTACAAGTTCAAGGGCTACACAGTGAGTTCAAGGTCTGCCTGGATTACAAAGCGAGACCGTCTCAAAAAAAGAAAAGAAAGCACATATTGATCCTGGTGTGAAGTAAGTGCTCAGCCAATGGTGGTCAAACCAACGATGCCTCGGGAGGAGGTCTGAACAGGATTTATAACTGGCTGAAGGGCAGGGGAGGTGGCGTGTCCCCTCTGCTTACCAGGTTATCGGCACAGGGGTGGGAGTAGGAGGTGGTGGCAAAGCGGGCCAGTCCTTCATTATACACAAAAATCCTGAGGGGGTCACAGGACGTCACCAGCACGTAAATCCGTAGGTCAAATTTGAACCCATCGATGATAAAGGGCTGAGAGAAGTCACATGGCATTAGGGAGGCATATCACATGGGCTGGCCCCAAGTCCTGTCAGGGTTTCTGGGACTGAAAACTTCTTGCTCTAATGTTGCCTGAGGAAAGTGTCAGGCTGGGCCAGCACTGGAGAGCAGGATAAGGAGACCTGGTCTTTGTGACTGGCCGTGTGGCCTCGAGGAGGTTGTGGTGCCACAGTGCGCGCTGGCTTTCTGATCTCCCCAACGCCATGAGTCACCACCTCCAAGAGACAGTGACTTGGCAACCAAACCAAGTAATATGAGAAGCTCTTCTCTGCAAAGGACATGTGGTCACCATCCAGGACCACCCGAGGGGTGTGGTTCTGTGACAGCTCTCCCCGAAATGCTCACTTGGCCTTGTGTCCCAGGGAGGCCAATGCTTCCCTCTCCACCAGAAAGCTCCAGAAGGTTCCAGGCAATTCCTTCCCTTCTGCAGGCTGAACCTTGGTGACCTCTGACCCCAGGAAGGGAGGGAAGCTGGCTTCCAAGATGGCTTCTTCTCCCAAAGGTGGGGCCTCCTCCACACACCAAGGGTGGGCACCTGGCTCACTTCTGTACCGGCCCAGGGGCCAGCCAGGTGAGGCAAGGCCAAAGGACTGACATGCAAGAGTGAAGGACGCGCTGGCTGGCCCAGGCACGGAACAGCACCCCTGCCACTGTCAGTCTGACAGAGCCCAAGACAAAACACGAGCTACAACCCCATGAGCCTCAGGAGCCCGGGTTCCCATTCCACACAGCGCACGCAGGCCTGAGGCGGCTGTGGGCAATCAATAAATAATGGCGACCAGGAAGTACCTTTGAGATATAGAGCTGGCAGATCATATCTTCCCCTGGCTTGATTTCCTTCACCGTCCGGGTGATGAATATTCCTCGTCCTTGGCAGCCCGAATCTGGCTTGCAAATGTACGTCTTATTTTTCCGGGACCTGCTGTAGGTCTGTAGGCCTCCCCAGCTTCGCAGGGCAGGGAGGGAAGAAGGAGCAAACCTTTAGCCGGGGAAGCCGGAGGAGGAAGTATTCCACCCCATGTTGCAGCAACCCTAAGCCCCAAATACGGAGAGCCAAGCTGAGCGTCGCGTGCCACAGCTCTGACACTCAGAGACTCTCAGAGACGCCCCAACAGCCAGCAAAGGGAGAGGCGGCCGAGCCTCAGGAGCTGGACTGAGAGACACCGCTGGCCAGCACAGAGACCCTCCACAAGGACCCAGCCGCGCTGAGCCTCCATGTCACTGCTGTGCATCACGAAAGCGATCTCGTGCGGGCAGTCACGTGTGTGACACCATGCAGCCAGAGCCACGGCTGAGACCCACGTCACTGGGCTTTCTGGGTTGCAGTCAAGAGACCCAGAGCTCTGGACCTGGCTCAAACCTGACCAGCAACGCTCCCGCTCCTGTCTTAAGACACTTCCTGTCTTCCCCGGGACCACCTCCCATTTCAGCCAGAGCAGAAGAGGGCAAGTGCCTTTGGGTACTTCAGGGAAAGTACGATTGGAACAACGCGGCCACAGTAAGGAAATCTGCATCTCCATCTTGCTAGCTTTTTTTTTTTTT